CGTCGGTAGAACCGAAGCGCCCTCTTTCTTCTTTCTATTTTTTTTCCTTTCCAATGCATCGATTTCCTTAGCTCGTAAGGAGAACGGCGACTTCGGCGATCCGTGTATATATATATAATTAAAAGCATCGATATATTCGAGATTCTGTTATTTATATATATATATATATATATATATATATATATATATATATATATATATATATTATATATATATATCAATAGCTAGGATACACTGGGAGAGTAATTGATTTACGTAAAACACGAAAGAAGCTGGTACCTAGCCTCTAACTCAATCCTATGTACAATGTATTATATCTATTATAGGCAACTTTATTATCTTTATTAAGATCATTATTGCTCTTTATTATCATTATTATTATTATTGTTTCGTAATACATGATTATTATTGTCTCATTATTACTATTATTGCACACATTATTAGTGTTCTATATTATATTATTATTATTATTATTATTGTCACTATTATCATTACGGTTGCAGTGAATTTAAGCGGCGCTTTCATTATTTTATACCGATATTAAATTATTATCGCGGATGTTCTTAACGGTTAAGAAAATGCCAAAGTTGTTTACGTTTATGGCCCGCTGATCGCGCGCGTCGCACGATACGTCCATCGAAGCCGGGGGAATCGCTCTTAGAAATACTGGAAAAAGGAAGTATATTGCGGGGACGATTAAGAACAATCATGAACGAGATCCAAATTGAAACGTTCAGTCCTGGACAATCTCGGAAGCAATTTCACAATCATGACGATTCCTTCCCGTCTTCGACGGTCGCTTTGTAGCCACGACGAGACTATCATCAGCGCGCTTTGTTCGTTAATTATATTTATTGCCGTCGCGGCCGATCGAGCCACGCTCGGTTTTCGCAGGATCGACACCGAACGTTGATCCTGTGAAAATCGTCCCGCGGCCGTACCGAGGCGCAACCTGGAAGAATGGCGGATTTCCGTTTTCCCTCGTCCTCGCCCAAGACTGAGGCTTTCGCGGGCGACGCGACGATCGTCCTTCGAGTTTTTTGCGTTCCATTTTTAAGTAGTGAAATAGTTTTTTTTCCTTTCTAGCCTTTCCCTTTTGTTTTCCTTAACGACGCCTCGGCAACGTAAGCGTTTTCGAAGGGAACTGTTCCTAAAGAGAGAGATATATATATATATATATATATGCTTAGGCAATAAGATAAAAAAAATGGGAGAAATAACTCCGCGAAACGAGAAACGACGGAAGAGTGCGTGTGACGATTGCGTGTCCTTTTTGCGATTTCGTTGTGCGTGTTATCCTTCTGGAGATGAGTGTTGAGAGCGAGTGTTGCGCGATGACGAGAGTGTGAATGAGAAAAGCATTAAAGACGATAAAGAAACTCATATCAGATAGTTCTCTCGGTGTTAGACGTGTACGGCCCTAGATAAAAAAAAGAAATCTCTCGTTATCTAGTTAAAAGTTTGTTAGATCGATTCCTGAAATACGTACATGCCAGGCTCTCCGTTTATACGACTACATATTGTAAATAATGGCACTGCCCGTAGCGATGATCCGAAAACAAAGAGGGAGTGAAAAGAAAAAGAGAGAGAGAGAGAGAGAGACGCGTCGTCGAAGAGTTGTTCAACGATCGTGACGAGAAAGAGGAAGAGAACAGATTCAGCGCAGTGATTTCCTTCTCTCACGTAACGGCGTGTTTCGTCGTCCACGAGTCGTTCGCGAACGAAGGAAGGGTGGACACGAGGGAGACGCGAGAGAGAGAAAGAAAGAAAAAGCAACCCCCTTCGATGGAGCACTGTGTGCGCGCTCGCGCACACGTGTGTATGTGTATAATCGATGAGATAAAAATCCTGCGGCACATTCAACGCGTACTTTGGTTTCGAAAAAGAGTTCTTCCTCCGTTTCTTCTCACACGCGCGTATACGCATACGTACACACGCACACACACATATACACACACACATATACACACGTTTATTACCCTTTTCGAATTCATCCCACATAGGACCAAGTTCCCTGCCTCACCGAAACAAAGGAGTCACACATGCAAATCTCGCGGCGGGCGATCGGACCGGCGGGATACGACGAGGACGACGAATTTATGCGACGCGGAAGAATATCCTCGCGCTAAGGAGACGCGGCAAACGCTGCAGTCACGATGAATGGGTTATTGCGAGTCCAACGTGGAAACCACCACGGCGACTCACGGTGGATTCGTGCCGATCACGGTACGTCAGCGTTTGCCCGTGTTCGAATTACGGTATCACACATTCACCTCGCTATATCTCGATCGACCGACGCACTGATAAGTAGATAATCCTGTCCCGTCGTGTCCCCCCGGTCGGTTTCTAACGTTTCTACACAGGGTAAATCACGTAAAAATGGTAAAAGATAATCCCAGAACGAATGTCAAGAATATATAGTCGAGCGAAGTATCTAGGCAGTCGACATAATTTAAAGCTACGAAATATTTCCTATAATTATACATAAGAGAACGAAAGCGAGAGAAAGAGGCAGAGAGAGAAAGAGATTCCACCGGAGTCGATTTACGGGAAAGAAATGCGCAGGAGACGATAAATATCGTAGCAGGGAAATTGGATTTTTAGGAAATCTTCTGATCCAGGGTAAAAATAATCCGAAGCTCGGTTTCTAGCGACAGTATGTGACCGGGTTGAAAAAAAGAAAACCTGGCATTGAGACACTTTTAACCGAGGATCGACATTAAGGCAATACGAGAAATAAAAAAAAACCCAGGCGTCTCCGAGTAAACTCTGGCCATGAGCTTCGCGAAGGCTCGGCCGAGCTTTCCTCGCAGGGGTCTCTAATTGTAAACATAGCAGATACGGTGTATGTCTTGTGCGATTCAAATAAACGACATTGTTTTTAAATAATCTACATGCTCTATTCGAATTCTGCTCAAACCCCGTCACAGCCCTCCTACTCTCCTTCAACACGCTAATAGTTTCACGAATTAATTTTAACTGTACCGAAAAAATTTTTAATCCATTACATTAGAAATGTGGAAAATCTTCTATAAAACAATTAAAAAATAATTCAGAGATTGTTTCTTCCCTATTTGACGTTACTTTTTAATTGTGGACATTGAATGTTGAAATGAACATAAACTTTTGTCAACATTGAATTTCTTTCCGCGATTTATGATATATAATAATAAGTGACATAATAATAATAATAATAATAATAATAATGACATTCAGTATATTTATATGGCCATGAGGTCGTGCACTCGTAATTGAATGCATATTTTATAGGTAATCATGATTGATTGATCGCTTGAGAAGCGAAAGATTTGCGCAGCCATCTGCACCGTTGGAAACCTTTAGTTTCCGATATGTTTGTGTCAGACGTAGAAAGCTCGTTACATAAAATGTTTAACTCGTTTCGAGTCACTATCATCCGCCTATTGCATTGCATAACGTGTTTTGCAACGGCTTAAAACTCTGCTTCAAGTCGATTCATAATTATATCGCAACTGAAAATGAAAAAAAGAAGTACGAATTTCCTCTTTCAATGGGAGACTTTTACAACTTTAGTTTGAAGAAATGGTTGAAACAAACGAGTTCATTTTCTTTCGAAGTAAAAATCACATGATACTCTCACCAAAAATGGTAATACCGTTTAATAAGAGTCAATTGTGCCATCTAGCGTGTAGCTGTAACGATACGAGGGGAAACTCGAACGAGGACAACCTCTCATTTATCAAGCTGGATCAGCATCGAGTTACTTCGATGCATGTCGGGTTGCCTAGTTGAAGGTTACTCCATTAAGGTACATGCTTGAAATGTTAAACCTAATGCTAAACGAAAATTGCATGATAATATCACGAAAGCCTTCTTCAAATAAATTTTTACAAATAAATAAACGTTATCAACAACAAGTATATATACAAGTATAATGAAGCCTACTCAGAGAGTGTGTGTAAAAAATTCTTAAGAATTCTTTGATTTTTCAGATAAAAAATAATAATTCAAAAGAATTCTAAGTTGTTCGAATTTCTTCAAATAACAGACATCCTGAATAATATAATTCCTACATAATTTTCTCTTATATTAATCATTATATATATATTCTTCATTATATAATATCATATATATATATATATATATATAATTTTCTCTTATATTAATCATTATATATATATTCTTCATTATATAATATCATATATATATATATATATATATAATTTTCTCTTATATTAATCATTATATATATATTCTTCATTATATAATATCATATATATATATATATATATATAATTTTCTCTTATATTAATCATTATATATATATTCTTCATTATATAATATCATATATATATATATATATATATAATTTTCTCTTATATTA